TGCCATCAGGTCGATGAATCCCACCTCGATTGGGACTTGCAGGTTCCGGGGGTCCTCGCCGCATACCGTATGGCACCTCACGCGGCGACGGGATTTTCCCCGTTCTTTCTAATGTACGGCAGGGATGCCTTTCCTCCCGCCGACGTTCGGCTGGAAATCGAACAGCCACCGCAAAAGTCAAAGCTCGTTGACCACTTGCGATTCAACCTCCGTAAGTTGGCCGAGGCACGGGAGGCCGCCATTGAAAATTCGGCTTCCCGCCAACGGGCGAATTTGCGACTGCGGGACCCTCGGTCGTACACGCATCGGTGGGCACCGGGAGACAGGGCATGGCTCCACTGCCCCCAGGTGCCGGTGTCCACGTCGGCCAAACTCCTCAGACCATGGCGAGGCCCGGTTGAGGTAGTGGAAGTCCTGCGTCCCCAATGTGTTAAAATTAGCTGGGGACGGCGTCGCTGGTGCGTTCACCCCTCTCGGTTAAAACCCTTCGTCACGCCACGCGTCCCTCCACAACACACACGACATGGGGGCCGAGTGTGCGACGCGTCCGACGAGCCGGATGTTGCCCCGTTGGTGCCTAACCCACAGCGCAGGCGTGTCATTCCTCCTGCAGATGACGCGGGAGTGACGGCTCCATGCAGGCCACGTTCGGCCTCAATGGACCGTGGAGCAGCAGGTGTCCCCGTGGAGATGCCTAAAGGCCCACCGGATGCTCTGGCTCATCCTCCTCCTTCCCTTGTGCCGCCGACAAAGCCTGCCATCCCCTACGATGGCCCCGCGAAACGCACGCGCGCGAAATCTCGCCGGTTGTAATAATGTTTTTTTGGCATGTCTAGTGCCTTGTACATACGTTATGTTGTTAAGGGGGGTATTTATAGGGGTTTAATTGTTCTTGTTGTTCGTGAGGCACACTCACAATTCTTCTACCATTGGTAATTTCGGAAGTTTCCCATTGTTGCAGCCGGGACGGCTGGAGCTTCCGAAGGAGGGGGTGATGTAGAGGTGTTAACTGCGCGCTGTTGCGTAACCTGCGTTGCCACCAGGGCGGTGCAGCATTACCCCTGGGTACAACGGTTGGGGTCAGTCGAGGTGAAACGGATCGTGGCCAGGGTTTTGGGGCGAACCAATCAGACAGTTCCACGTGGGAATGTGTGATTGGTTCTGCCTGGCCACGAAGGGGTATAAGACGGGTGACCCAACGGACCTCGTGAGTTCTCTCCCTGCACGAAGACAGAAGACTGGGCTGAAGCCTAGCTAGGACCCTGGACCAGCCTCCCAGCCCTTCTAAGGGCTAAGGCTCGGCATACCCAGTGGTCAGGACCCACCGGGCCAGCGGTGGGTCAGATAGCCTCCCCTAGGTCCTAGCCGGAGGACTAGGATAGCGGTAGACGTGTGAGTCCCGCCAAGTCCGGAGGTTGTACCTCCTTAGGTATCAAGGAGGTTAGCGGTAGACGTGTGAGTCCCGCCAGGTCCGGAGGCTGTACCTCCCTAGGGTATCGGGTGAGGGGACCGAATATCCCTCTGTGTGTTAAGCGTTGTATAAGGAAATAATACAATAAACAGTGTGCCTCCTAAAGAAGTCTGCTCGTCCTTACAACACTACAAAAGTATGGAAAAAGGTGCTTCATACCCTTTCTGGCAATAAAACAGCAGGTGTTCAAACGGCAAATATAAACCGTTTCACTACAAGGAATCAAGTTACTGTCATTAATAAAAATACGGAGCGTGTTTTTGCTTCCATGTCCACCACAAGCGTCGTGCGTGTGGTTAGTCACGATTCCCCTGCAAAGGGCCTTAGTGCGGAGTCCCGTTGTTTTATTGCCAGGAAGGGGTCAAAAACCTCTCATTTCCTCATACAGCGGTTGGGTTCACAAAGCCCCCGGGTCACGCTGTGTGGTTCCCAATGCCCGGGTTCGTAACGGCCGGGTTCATAGTGGTCGGGTTAATCACGGCCGAGGTTCGTAATGGCCGGGCTCACGGTGGCCGTGTCACGCTGTGTGGTTCATAGCGGCCTCCTACACCGCCACCTCTTCTGCCTCCACCACCACCACCTTCACCTCTTCTCTGTCGCCCACAGCACAACCTCGTTACACGTAGGAGGAGCAGGAAGACCGCAGCAGCGACGACTCAACGGATTCATCGATGCCTCCGCCGCCGCCGCCACCACCTCCTCGAAGCAAGAACCCCGCTCAGCCAAGACCTGGGCGACGAGGCGGTGGAGGAGGAGGCGGCAAGACGTCGGTCAGCGCCAGGATCGAGCGCAAGTGAAGGAATCCACGGTGGGGGTGGCAGCGTGCCACTGATCTCGTAGTGCCTGGGTTCGAGCCCTGTGTCTGAGTCTCTCTCTCTCCGAGTCTCTCTCAGAGGGGGTGTCGCTTGTTGATCTGTAGCCAAAACGTTTTGTGTTCAAATAAAATCGTCTTTAAACGTATAAACTCATGTTTTTATTTTCTTCTTCAAGCCACCGACAATCAACAACGGTAAGCCAAGGGACTGCACAAACAAGACAAAGATCCCCCGTGTAGCCTCTAGCAGGCTGTAGGGCCAAGTGCCGTTAGTAGTAGCAAGTAGCAGCACCTACACACAGACAATGATCCCCCGTGTAGCCTCTAGCAGGCTGTAGGGGCAAGTGCTGTTAGTAGCAAGTAGCAGCACCTACACACAGAAAAAGATCCCCCATGTAGCCTCTAGCAGGCTGAAGGGACAAGTGCTGTTAGTAGTGAGTAGCAGCACCTACATACAGACAAAGATCCCCCATGTAGCCTCTAGCAGGCTGTAGGGACAAGTGGTGTTAGTAATAGCGAGTAGCAGCAACTACACGCAGACAAAGATCCCCCGTGTAGCCTCTAGCAGGCTGTAGAGGCAAGAGCTATTTGCGAGTAGCAGCACCTATACACGGACAAAGATCCCCCGTGTAGCCTCTAGCAGGCTGTAGGGACAAGTGCTGTTAGTAGTGAGTAGCAGCACCTATACACAGACAAAGATCCCCGGTGTAGCCTCTACACACACAGTGTGCTAACCACTGCACCACCGCTCCCCACACACACACAGTGCGCTAACCACTGCACCACCGCTCCCCACACACAGTGCGCTAACCACTGCACCACCACTGCCCACACACTCACCAGACAGAGACCCACAGACTCAGCACACAGACCCACAGACTCACCACACACAGATCCACAGATTCACCACACAGAGACCCACAGACTCACCAGAGACCCACAGACTCACCACACAGAGACCCACAGACTCACCACAGAGAGACCCACAGATTCACCACACAGAGACCCACAGACTCACCAGACAGAGACCCACAGACTCACCACACAGAGACCCACAGACTCACCACACAGAGACCCACAGACTCACCACACAGAGACGCACAGACTCACCACACAGAGACCCACAGACTCACCACACAGAGACCCACAGACTCACCACACAGAGACCGACAGACTCACCACACAGAGACCCACAGGCTCACCACACAGAGACCCACAGACTCACCACACAGAGACCCACAGACTCACCACACAGACACCCACAGACTCACCACATAGAGACCCACAGACTCACCACACAGACCCACAGACTCACCACACAGAGACCCACAGATTCTAGATTTAAAGCTTTCGTGACTGCAAGGATCCATACTCTTTGGTTCTATTGGGTAAAGTCACATAGGTAAAATATAAAAAAACAAAAATAACGATTCGGCCACAACACAAGCGGCCTTCATCAGGTGAAGGGACGAGACTGTTTGGAGGACAGCGCTGGAGTGAAAAAAGCCACGCTCAGATCACGACCTTTAAGCTGTGTGAGAAGAAACAAAGCGCCTTGACAAAGGAATTATCATGTAATTTTGCATTGAAATGGCTGAGTGATTAGCTTGTGACTGGTCACAGAAATGGCTATGTTAAAGTTAAAGCATACACATCCGCAAAGGCACCCCTTGACAAAGGAATTAGCATAGAATTTAGCATTGAAATAGCTAAGTTAAAGTATACACATCCGCAGAGGCACCCCTTGACAAAAGAATTAGCATAGAATTTAGCATTGAAATAGCTGAGTGATTAGCTTGTAACTGGTCACAGAAATAGCTATGTTAAAGTCAGAGCATATACATTCACCGAGGCACCTAGTACAAATCACACAGGAGAATTTAGCGAAACACAACCACGCTCAGACCGCGGACCTTTAAGCTGTGTGCGAGCAAACAAGGTGTCCTGACAAAGAAATTAGCATAAACATTAGCATTTGATTGGCCGATTATAGAAAAGAGGTGGTGTACGTGCCGGTGGACTTGCCGTTTGGCGCGGGGGGGGGGGGGAGATTACATATTGATGGTGTGAAAAGGGAATTTATAAGAGCTGCGAAAGTTTGGGGTACTACTACTTGAAAAATATACTGTACCATTGAAATTAGTTTAATGTTTTGTTCGATTTAGATCTTTCCAATGGTTGCTTAATTCTCCTGTTTGATTTGTACTAGGTGCCTCGGTGAATGTATATGCTCTGACTTTAACATAGCTATTTCTGCGACCAGTTACAAGCTAATCACTCAGCTATTGCAATGCTAAATTCTATGCTAATTCCTTTGTCAAGGGGTGCCTTTGCGGATGTGTATGCTTTAACTTTAACATAGCCATTTCTGTGACCAGTCACAAGCTAATCACTCAGCCATTTTAATGCTAAATTATATGCTAATTCCTTTGTCAAGGCGCTTTGTTTCTTCTCACACAGCTTAAAGGTCGTGATCTGAGCGTGGCTTTTTTCACTCCAGTGCTGTCCTCCAGACAGTCTCGTCCCTTCACCTGATGAAGGCCGCTTGTGTTATGGCCGAAACGTCGTGATTTTTGTTATTTTATTTTTTTACCTACTTGACTTTACCCAATAGAACCAAAGAGTACCCACAGACTCACCACACAGAGACCCACAGACTCACCACACAGAGACGCACAGACTCACCACACAGAGACCCACAGACTCACCACACAGAGACCCACAGACTCAGCACACAGAGGCCCACAGACTCACCACACAGACACCCACAGACTCACCACACAGAGACCCACAGACTCACCACACAGAGACCCATAGACTCATCACACAGAGACCCACAGACTCACCACACAGAGACCCACAGACTCACCACACAGAGACCCACAGACGCACCACACAGAGACCCACAGACTCACCACACAGAGACCCACAGACTCACCACACAGAGACCCCACACAGAGACCCACAGACTCACCACAAAGAGATCCATAGACCCACAGACTCACCACACGGAGACCCACTGACTCACCACAGAAACCCACAGACTCACCACACAGACTCACCACACAGAGACCCACAGACTCATCACACAGAGACAAATAGACTCATCACACAGAGACCCATAGACTCACCACACAGAGACCCACAGACTCATCACACAGAGACACATAGACTCATCACAAAGAGACCCATAGACTCACCACACAGAGACCCACTGACTCACCACAGAGACCCACCACACAGGGACCCATAGACTCACCACACAGAGACCCACAGTCTCACCACACAGAGACCTACACTCACCACACAGAGACCCACAGACTCACCCCACAGAGACCCACAGTCTCACCACACAGAGACCCACAGTCTCACCACACAGAGACCCACAAACTCACCACACAGAGACCCATAGACTCACTACACAGAGACCCATAGACTCATCACACAGAGAACCACAGACTCACCACACAGAGACCCACAGACTCACCACACAGAGACCCACAGACTCACCACACAGAGACCCACAGTCTCACCACACAGAGACCCACAAACTCACCACACAGAGACCCATAGACTCACTACACAGAGACCCATAGACTCATCACACAGAGACCCACAGACTCACCACACAGAGACCCACAGATTCACCACACAGAGACCCACAGACTCACCAAACAGAGACCCACAGACTCACCACACAGAGACCCACAGACTCACCACACAGAGACCCATAGACTCATCACACAGAGACCTACAGACTCACCACACAGAGACCCACAGATTCATCACACAGAGACCCACAGACTCACCACAAAGAGATCCATAGACCCACAGACTCACCACACGGAGACCCACTGACTCACCACAGAAACCCACAGACTCACCACACAGAGACCCACAGACTCACCACACAGAGACCCACAGACTCATCACACAGAGACAAATAGACTCATCACACAGAGACCCATAGACTCACCACACAGAGACCCACAGACTCATCACACAGAGACACATAGACTCATCACAAAGAGACCCATAGACTCACCACACAGAGACCCACTGACTCACCACAGAGACCCACCACACAGGGACCCATAGACTCACCACACAGAGACCCACAGACTCACCACACAGAGACCCACAGTCTCACCACACAGAGACCTACACTCACCACACAGAGACCCACAGACTCACCCCACAGAGACCCACAGTCTCACCACACAGAGACCCACAGACTCACCACACAGACACCCACAGACTCACCACAAAGAGATCCATAGACTCACCACACAGAGACTCACAGACTCACCACACGGAGACCCACTGACTCACCACAGAAACTCACAGACTCACCACACAGAGACCCACAGACTCACCACACAGAGACCCACAGACTCACCACACAGAGACCCATAGACTCATCACACAGAGACCCACAGAGTCACCACACAGAGACCCAAGGACTCACCACACAGAGTCCCACAGACTCACCACACAGAGACCGACAGACTCACCACACAGAGACCCACAGACTCACCCCACAGAGACCCAGTCTCACCCCACAGAGACCCAGTCTCACCACACAGAGACCTACAGACTCACCACACAGAGACCCACAGACTCACCACACAGACACCCACAGACTCACCACAAAGAGATCCATAGACTCACCACACAGAGACCCACAGACTCACCACACAGAGACGCACAGACTCATCACACAGAGACACATAGACCGTATCGCTTTTTTAATATACACACTTTCATTTGGCCTTTTTATTTTTATTTTATTTTCCCTTAGTCCCTTTTATTTTTTATTTTTACTCACGGTGAAACTCGAGCGAAAATCCGCCTCGATCGACCCAGGAGTTGCACACAAGTTAGCAGCAGCAGCAACAGCAACGACGCGCGCGCAGGTGAGCTGTGGCCGCCTATCATCATGGCACAGCACACCAGGTTGGAGAGCCTCACGAGGCGGAATGGGGTCGTCGTTTTTCCGCCGACGGAGGTCGCCGTCGACGCCGTCGCCGCCGCGGTGGCGACGGGCGTGGGCCACGCCAACGTCCTCGCCGCCCAGCGCCAAAACCGCGGCGTCACCATCTACGTGGCGGAGGAGGCGATGGTGGCGAGCCTCGTGGAGACGGGG